TGATTTAGTCTTTTCTAATAAAGCACTTCGTTTCGAAAAATGCACAGAATCATTATCAGTCATATATATAATCATATATAATATAAAAATTAATAATAAAAATAATAAATTATATATATTGTAAATAAAATGTTAATGTAAAGTCGGCCTGCAAAAAAGAGAAAGAGTATAAAATTTGGCAGAGTTTTTAAATAGATTTTAATCTTGAAAAATATATATATACGTATAGATCAAAAGTAAAAGATCGATATTTTTAGGTGATTGTTCTTCTTCGTCGTCAGACGCGGATCCAGACGCTCCTAGACATAGCCGACAGTTCTGCATTTAGTCGCTACGATAAAAAATATGAGGATTTACTCATAAGTTACGCGTGGAAAGGTATCTTTCATCATGCGATTTATCAAAGTTTCGGCGGAATTGCGGTATTTTGTTGGGGTTTTACTCCAGTCGCTGATCTGATCGCTGGTCGTTCACGCCAGCTGCCTATGGAGGGATGGTACCCTTATAATACGACGGCGACGCCGGCTTTCGAAATCACCGCAACGCATCAGGGCATAGCTATTATAATTGCTTGCTTTCATAACGTGGCGATGGATACACTGATGACGGGCTTGATCACGGTCGCCTGTTGCCAGCTGGCAATCCTAGAGCGCAACATTATCTCGATTGATAACAAGGAAAAAATCTGTGGAATGCAGAATGATAACGATGAGGACAAGTCTCTTGAAAGAGGAATTTTAGCTTATCAACTACTCAAGCAATACGTTATGCACAGCAATATGATATTTCAGTAAGTTAGATCCGTAAAAATAAGGCTGAAATAAAAAATTTGATGTGTTAAAATAGTTTGAAGCAAAAAAAAAGAGACAATTCTGTTCGAATATGTTAGTTTGTATTTTATATGTATGTAATTCAAATCTCCGAACAGATCAACTTATTTAAGTACAATGATCGGTATGTAATATCAATTTGTCATGTTTAAAATTCGAATAATTCAAATATTTTGCTATACAAATTTAACTAACGCTACATGTCCTGAAATATTGATAAAATATTCGTAAGATCTTAAAATAATATTTTAATACCACCGTATAGAAAAATAGATATTATATACATATATATATATCTATATTTTATTATACATATAATATTTTGAAATAAAACAATAAATAGGGGGAACGTAGTATAAAATAAAAACTTAAAATATTCCAAACAAGAAGACAGCCTATAACGATCAAACCTGGATTAAAATATTCCATTCGAGCATATCATTACATATTCGACAGATATTCCGCAGGCATTCCGAAAAATTATAATTCTCTTAAATGTGAGCACATTGGCAATAACTTTATATAGTATATATTATTATATATATTTCAAGAAAATTTAATTTATATAATTTAATCAATATATATTATAATTTAATCAATAATCGTTAAATTGTAAGTCAATTTAACTCGCGATATTACTGTCGTAGTTTATTAGTGTTGCGTTTCAAATCTGAAAAAATTTCGGCGCACAATTAAAGAATTACATATGTAGTATATACATTCACACGCACAATTATTTAGAAGCACCGTGATCCAATTTAGACCGCTGCGGCATATTGTTCTCATATCGGTTTTAATTTATATATCTACATTTTTTTAAATTAGATTGCATACGTGAATATGTACTATATCGAAGCTATAAAAAAAATTAATGAAAATAATTATCCGTTTACATTTAGTTTTGTTAGCGACTAATTGCATTGATTTTGCAGTTTCACAAGTGAGATTCAGGACATCTTTGGTACCGTTATCTTTTTTCAATTCCTCTCAAATTGCGTGATCATTTGCTTGATTGCTTTCAACGTATCACAGGTAAATCCGATTGTTTCAATCGATTTATCAATGAGTTCTCATGTGATCGGTTGCACCGCAGATGAATGTTTATATTCCGGCGGTGTTGATCGGCATGCTGACATACATGTGTTGCATGACGTACCAAATATTTATCTTCTGCTGGCATGGTAATGAATTACATCTACATGTGAGTATTTAAGATATTTTCGTATACAGATATACTAGAAACATGCGCGATTTTTAGAGTATACGTTTAATAACGGCTGCGTATTCGAGCAATTGGTTCTCCAACACAAAAAAGTTCAAACGCGCTCTACAAATCGTGATGATAAGGGCTCATCGTCCGCTCACTATGAGTGCCGGTAGGGTCATGTCATTGTCTTTAGATACTTTCGTGCAGGTACGTATATTTTTATCAGACACTTTGTTAAAACAAAATGTATTCACTTAAATACGTTATAAAGATCTAAATGATGATATTGTCTTTCTCGTAGTTGAACTTTTGTAAAGCATGTGCACCATTTAATTTCCGGAACAAATCAAAAAATGCCGCCTCGACTTATTAAAATAATTCATATATATTTTTATTTTAAAATAATCTTAAGTAACATTTATTATTTAAATCCACATTATATTAGTGTTTCGGAAACTAAACTGCTTTAAATTCTAAGTAAAATCTTAAGTTTGAACAAAGGTAATAATTCTCGTATATTTCAGATAATGCGGATGTCCTATTCGATTTTTACGGTACTTCAAGGATCGACTACTTAACAACAAATTTATTAATATCAAATTTTATAACTATGGTATATTTTTTAAAACTACAAAGAGCAGCAAATAAAACATAAATGTTTTAGTTTTATTGAAACTGTATCATTATAATATATACAAAAATATATGTTTTTATATATAAAAATATTCTTCATGATATTGCCTATACTTATCATCAGACGAGAAAAAGAATCAACAATTATTTGTTTGATAAATCATATGATGTATCACTCTTATCATTTCATGTTAGCTCAGTTTGTATATCACAATATATTCTTACAAAATTTAGGTTAAACCTTTTAATTGATTACAGCGCTTCTACCATCACAGCGATACCTTGACCGCCGCCAATACAAGCAGAACCGATACCAAATTTTCCAGACTTTCGCCTTCTGCAAAAAAAAAATACATATTGTAAATAAAGATATTAATAAAAACGTGTTCATACTACCATAAGATATGTTACCTAAGTTCGTGCACCAAGTGAGCAGTGATCCTGCTACCGGAAGCAGCCAATGGATGTCCTACAGCAATAGCACCACCATTTACATTCAGTTTATTTAGATCCAGATTAAGTTCTCTTGCACACGCTAAAGTCTGAGCACCAAAAGCTTCATTGATCTATCAGAATACATAGTTAATGCAATGAGAAAAAACTGAATTATATTTTTAATTACATTTTATATTAATTATTTTCACATCTTTACTTAAAGAAAAATTCGAATGAATTTTTTTATCTAATCTTTACTTAAAGATGCTACTTGATGGGTCAAATTTCTGTTGTATAAATTGAAATCTCACCTCAACGATTTCTATGTTATCGAGTGTCTTGCCCGTAGCTTTAAGTAAGTCCTTGATTGCAGGTGCAGGACCAATTCCCATAATGCTCGGTTCTACACCGACAACACTATATCCTACTAAACGTGCCAATGGTTTCAGGCCTTCTGCCTTGACAGCTTCTTCGCTAGCTAAAATAACAGCGCTCGCTCCATCACAGACACCCTAGGAACGAGAATAGAGTTAATTGAATTTGAGAGAAAACAATATAAAAAAATTCATATAAAAATTCAATCTATAAAATGAATAAAAACATAATACCGATGCAGAACCAGCTGTGACTAGTCCATCTTTCTGGAAAACTGCTTTCAATTTGGCAAGTGTTTCTAACGTTGTTTGCGTACGTGGATGTTCGTCTACACTAACAATTGTATCCTGCTTCTTAATTTTCACTTGCACAGGCGCTATTTCTTCGTTAAAACGACCCGTGTCATTGGCTGTAATAATGTTTTTTTAAATAGAGGCTTAAATTCTATAATCTAATTTATTTAATTAAAGAAGAATATTAATAAACTACGAGCGCAAGTCAATAAGTTCTTAGAAAATCTGTCAAAGGGCATTCGCAGTGTCACATTACAGTAGTACATGTTACATTACTTATTGACAAATAGCATCTTTCAGCTGATTACTGTCAAATTTTGAGCGGAATTCATCGAGAGGTTTTATTTCTGTAGACGATTAAAGCGAACAACCTTTGTATTTTTTGCAAAATGGAAAGAAACGAGTTTCGTACAGTGATACATATGAAAGGTTTAACGTCGAAAGAAATCAAAGTCCAGTTGGATAATGTTTACAGCACATCTGCACCAGCGTTTGCGACTGTATACAATTGGATGAATGAATTTAAACATGGTCGTACCACGTAAATATCCATATATGATGCATCTCGTTCGGGACATCAAATTGAGGCTGAAATCATCGATAAAGTCCACGATGTTGTTTTGACTGATCGACGAGTGAAAGTGCGCGAGCTTGTTGAGGCCGCATATCACATGGCACAGTGATTTCAATTTTGAACGAACAATTGGGTATGAAAAAGATGGGTGCCGCTTTTGCTCACTGTGGACCATAAGCGCGACCGTATGATTTCAAAACAATGTTTGGAGATGTTTCAATCCAGATGAATTCTGCGTCGATTTATTACTGTGGATGAAACATGGATTATTTCACACTCGAGACGAAGGAACAATCAAACCAATGGACTTCACCGGATGAACCAGCTCCGAAGAAGGCGAAGACCGTGAAGTCGGCCGGAAAGGTGATGGCCGCAGTTTTTTGGGATGCACTCGGTATAATTCATATCGATTACTACAATCAAACCAATGGACTTCACCGGATGAACCAGCTCCGAAGAAGGCGAAGACCGTGAAGTCGACCGGAAAGGTGATGGCCGCAGTTTTTTGGGATGCACTCGGTATAATTCATATCGATTATCTTCCGTCGAAGCAAACGATCAATAGCGATTACCGCTACGAAGTGCTTTTCCATTCAGCATATTCGCCAGATTTAGCCCCCTGCGATTATTTCCTGTTTCCAAACCTGAAGAAATGGTTCGGAGGAATAAGAGATTCACCACCATAGAGAGCAGCTCATCGCCGAAACAGAGGCTTATTTTAAAGAGTTGGACAAATCATATTATTCGGACGGCTTGAAAAATTTGGAGAATCATTGGATCAAGTGTATCGAGACTGAAAGGAGACTTATGTTAAGAAATAAAAATAAATTAATAAAAAAAAAAATGTGTTTTACTATGTTTTTTTCTAAAAACTTATTAACTTGCCCTCGTATAAACTTCAAATTTTATTTGATCAATAACTAATACGTAAAATTTTATATTGAATAAGATATTGTAGATATCTACCAGCTTTCCAACGTTGTTGACTATTCAAAGCAAATTGATCGACTTCTTCTCTTTTTAATTTGTATTGAGCACCGAGTTTTTCCGCAGTCAGTCCCATAGGCAAATTACAATAGGTGTCGAGTAATCCAAGCCAAAGTGAGTCTTCGAATTCATGTTTCTGGCCAAGAGCAGTGCCATAACGAACGTTTCTTACAACAAAAGGAGCTTGACTCATGTTTTCTGCACCACCCGTCAAGACAATCTTCGAGTCTCCCATTAAAATATTCTGAAATGGAAAATGTAGTTACTGTAGTAAGATGTTATACAGGGTATAAGGAAATTATAGCATTACCCATCATGAACAGGTAGAGGACTGAATTGAATCGAAAAGTCTTACCATTTTGCAGTTACAATAATAATATTAACAAGATATTAATTTTTAAAAATAAATACTAATACTTAAACAAAGCTCTCAATGTCAAAACAATAAAAAAGATAAGGCAATTCGAATAATAAGCTAGCAGGACCACAAAAAAACCCGGAAGAAAAAGAAATAAAGGTAGAAATGAAAAGAACTGAATTTGTACTAATTTGTACCAGAAAGAAAAAGTTAATTTATCGACTCATTTCTCGAAAAATAACCCTCAATTAAATTTAACTTGGCTAACCTGAGCGCCACTGACAATTGCCTGAAAACCAGAACCGCATAATCTATTTACACTAAATGCTGGTCTTTGTAATGGAATTCCTGATTTTAACAAAGTATGTCTTGCCAAGAAAGCACCATCGGAAGATGAATTCTATAAAAAAAAAATTAAAGATCAGTTGAAAGAGCTATATAAGTTCGTTAGTTATTGCGGTTTCCTTCTTCTTGTTAGTTTATATAAATCGCAATTGATAATTATAAATAGAAACTGACTTACCATTAGAACGTGTCCAAATACAACACTATCAATCTTCTCTGGTTTTAGGCCTGCTGCCTGCATTGCGGCAGTCGATGCAACAACTGACAAATCAGTTGCACTTTTATTCATAAACATACCTCCCATTGTACCAAATGGGGTACGCTTTGCAGCAACAATAAAAATACCTGTGGGAGATTTCAAATCGATAATTTATTTTACTTTCTTATATCCTATTATTCTTATATCTTATATAATATTTATAAATAACTACTTTACAATTAACTTATAAATAACACTTAACATGTACATAACATTACAATAGGTACGACAAAAATTACGTCAAATTACGACAGATCACATTTTATTTTTTAAAATTATACACTTTTCTACTGAATATATTTTATGAATAAAATATCTGGGTTTTTAAATTAAAAAATCATAAAATTCTTCTTATATTAGTAAAAAAATTTTATACTTATTTTCACTTATATTATTTTTACTTATTATTCTTCATTTATTATTATTTCACTTAAAAAAAAGACAATTTATAATCGTGTCCATAATTTGAGACAAAATTTGGAACGTGTTGTAAAAGAGTCGAAATTTAGGATTATCCTTCCTAACTTATATCTAATAATTAGAACTGTAATCACTAATTGTAAGCATTATGATTTCGACTAAACATGGATTAATTCAATTGACAAATGTCTATTTCCAATTTAATTGCATTCTATTTTTTTAATTGCATTCTATTTTTTAATTGCAGTACACAATGATTTTTGACAGAGTTATGAGCAATCAAAATCAGACCTTTACTTATTTAACTCGCGAATAACTTAGAAACAAAAAAATCACAGGATTTTTAAAAACGATTTTAAAGGCTTTTTTTTCACGATAGGTATTCAAAAATTTTTTTGGACACGTGAAAGACAAAATAAAAAAAAATGTTCATCTTTTTCAGCTCGTAATTTTTTTATATGTAAAAATTACCAAACTGACAGAGAAACTCAAAAAATTATTAGAGAGAGAGAGAGAGACACATGTATATAAAAGGACATTTATTTTACAATATTTTTGCTAAACATGAACGAAATTTAAATTTAAAAAAGGATTTTAAAATAGAGATTTTAAACTTTAAAATCCTTTTTTAAATTTAAATTAAAATAGAGATTTTAAGCTTTAAAATCTTTTTTAAATTTAAATTTCGTTCATGTTTAGCAAAGATAAAATAAAGATCTTTTCATATATGTGTCTAATAAAGATTTTTCCCCAATCCAATATATATATTCTTAGGGGCTGCACAGAATAAAAGGAACAAGGAACAGAGAATAAGAATTTCAACCTATCAGAAATCATATACTGTGGAATAAACAGTGTATATTCCATAGTATATGATTTCTGATAGGTTAAAATTCTTGTTCTCTGTTCTCTGTTCCCTATTCCTTTTATTCTGCGCAGCTTTATAATTTTTATACATGATATATAAAATGAGCCATAACTCGTTTTTAAATAAAAATTTCTAATTATTATAATATAATTCATTCCAATATTTTTTCTTTTAAATATAAAACAAAAAATTAATAACTTTAAGGGCCGATTGTTCTATCCTTCGGTACTTTATTAGTTCACTATCTTATTCTCCTACTCTTTTATGCACTCATTCTTTTGTTTATCCAATATGTAAATTACCACATAGTTTATTCAAATAAGATGGAACAACCGCAGACCTTACTGTACTAGCCGTTGTGTTAAGAAAACAGTTTAGGTTTAGGTACATATGCAGCTGGATACAGATATAGATATAGGTATTATTTAACAAGTCACCGATTAAATTAATCAGAGCTGTTTAATCGACCTTATTTTTGATATTCAAAATATTAAAAAGTATTAGCAGATAAATTTACGTTTAAAGTCTTCTTTTGAAATTTCCATCATTGGCGTAACGAGCCAATAATGGAAACTGTTTTGATCAAAAGGATTCAAATTAGAATAGAAATTGTACAATACATACCTTTCGTTACAGCCGACATCGTAGCGAATCACTTCAAGTTGTTTTTGTAGAATTACTATTAAACGACTATAACTGGAATATGACGGAAACTCGATGAGATATATACCCACTCGAGGTTCAAAGTCCTACACAGCGTCGAACATTAATCAGCTCATGTTTACCGAAATGTTTCTGCTGTCATCACTGTTATGGCGCTGGGAGAACTGTTAAATTAAGGCCTGTTCTCTTTAATGGAACTTGTTCGGTTTACCCTTTCTCTTTTTCTCTTCAACGCGGAGAGAAAAGGAAGAAACATGAACCATAACAAGAACTGTAGCCGAAAAGAACAGACTTATAGAAATATTTGTAGTATCTCTATAAAAGGAAGAAAAAGCTGGCCCGGGAAACTTTTCAACGTTCGATATTTCGTGTGTTTTTCTTATCATTTTTCTTCGTTTACAAGATCATCATATCTAATCATATCTAGTTTTACTTAGTGCAAGCATCGATTTTGCACATCATCTTTATATAGTGTGTTCAATAAACATGATGATGCAATCATGTACAAGATATACTTAGATATCCTTAGATATACTAAGATTTTTTTTACATAAAAAATGATTCCCCTTGAAAATTAATGCAAATCTTTATCCAGTGTATGTTTTTCTTTTTCTTTAAATATTAAGTTATCATCTTCGTTTATTCAAAATGCAAATATAATTCTGCCATATTTTATATCTGTGTAATTAAGTAATTAAAATGTTTAAATTATTCTTTCCTCTTATGTCTAGATAATACACGTATTACCCAGTGAGAAATGATAATGGAATCGACATCGAATTGATGTCGTTCGACGTCGAAATCATCTAATTGACGTCGAATTGATTCCATTGTTATTTCTCACTGGGTTGAAACAATACGTCTAATACGGACTCTATGGGTGCGTTTCACTTAACGTTCGAAACACTCATAATCATCATTTCATTTTTTAATATTTGAAAATGATAAGGATGAAATAATGCTCGCGAGCGTTGCGAATGTTAAACCCATTCTAAAATCGCATAAAGCCATTCTACAATGGACAGTAGCAGTAGTGAATTAAGGAGTAGGCGTAGAAATTAACAAATCATAGTCGAATGTGAGAAAGATAATTAACTGTCATTGGTCGATTTCTATGCTTACTCCGTAATCTACTACTGCTACTGCCCATTGTAGAATGGGCTTTAATGTGGTTGTAAAGGGAGCCTACAGACCAGAGCGGCGCAGCGGTGAAGCGGCGAGCGATAGCCAATGAGAGCTATGCTTTTGCGTAAAAGCATGGCTCTCATTGGCTATCGCTCGCCGCTTCACCGCTGTGCCGCTCTGGTCTGTAGGCTCCTTAAGTGACTGTAGTTGTAAGAATTGACTAATTATAGTCGAACATTTCTTCTAACAAAAATATTACAGGAGTGGAGTGGGTCACTCCTGTCGACCCTTAATAATATTCAAAATTATATTCAATTTGAACAATTTATTCACTAAAAATAAAAATAAAAAAAATTGTTAATTTAAATATTTTTTTCAATTTACAGGCCAATGTTTAATATATTTTGAGATAAAAATCATAATATTAATAATTATATAGAATTATAGTAGTCGTCACTTACGATTTTTTAGTTATATTAATTTTGTGACACATAAAATGAAGTATTTTGCTTTGATTTTTATTACATTGTTGGCTTTTATTAAATTGTTTCAGTCTAAGCATCAAACTTGACTGACAAGTCGCACCATATATCGTGCACAAAGCGAATACACATATTTTCTTATGCGACAATTTCTATTTCAGTTCAATAGATACAATTACACTTTATCAGAATATAAGATCAGTCAGAATATAACTACGTAAGATCAGTGATATTTACAATGTTGTTAATTTTGGTGTTGCAACAACTCTTCATAATCTATCAAACGTAATATCCATCATCTTTTCAATGTAATAATAATTAGTAGACAATTATTCGCATTAAACATTGGTGTTTTTGTGCTATTGGCTCATTGATCGTTGTCAGTATGTAACGTATAATTCTCACCAAGATTTTCGCAAATGTCCACTTCAAAATATATAGTTTCGAGATTATTTAAAAATAACTGAATTTTAAAACAATTTTTTAAAATAGTTTATCAGTATAGCTACGGAAATAGAGCTTTTATTATAAAATAGAAAATAATTTTCAGTTTTGGCACATATTTTATTAAAAAAAAAAAAGGGAACAGGAAACTATTTTTATATAGACTAGTATAAAAATGAACAAACAAATTAAATGTCGTAATGCTTGATCTACTTTTTTTCCACTTTGTGCAATTATTATAAATAAGTATATTTCTTGCATAAATTATTACTACGGGAACTTGCATTTGTATTCGTGTGCATATATAGACAATTATATTTGTCAAATTTCGTCTAAAAAAAAAGAAGAATAAAGAAGCTGTATGCAAAAATCGTACAGCTTCCCTTTTTTTTCTCTTTTCTCTTTTTTTTGGTACAATTTCCCTTACAACTTGAGAAGAGCAACATGAAACAACCCGTTTAATTAACATTTACGCTAATTTATAGGAAGGTAATGAATTACGTAAACAGTCAATTAGCAGCTACTTATTAGCTAAAAATCTTCAATCTTCTTCATGATATTCAACGACACCAGCTTGCTTCGCGCTGTCCACTCCCTGTAAAAATACCTCTTTTTGTATATCCTACGTTTTCTTAATTGTAAAATACAAATGCGTAACATGATATGTAACTTTAGATGTAATCATTTGGTCAATTTTTACTTACATCTTCGAAAAAAGTATGCATCTGTTGCGCCGCTTGTACCGACGAGAAGGCTGCCTTCAGAACTCTCCTCTCTGGAGGATCCAAAGCGTAATCAATGCCGCTCCAAATACATTCTTTGCCTTCCACCTTTGTACAACAAAAAACAGAGAATAAAAGATAACAATACATTAGTAAAAATATATGGAGTTCTCTCTCTGTGTATTGTTAATTTACTACAATACATTCAACAAGATAATGCATTTGATTTCAGAAAAACATGAAAATACAAACAGTTAAGTATGGGTGACTATTGGAAAATTGCTAATATTTTATAACGAGTAAATAAAATGAATCAAATTCTATTGTACAGAAGATGATCTACCATTTTCATTAGTATACACTATACAGGGTCTATCAGGAAGCATCTAAAACAGGCCATCGTTGATAATGTTTAACTTATTTCATTCTGTCCACTAGTCAAAGTAACAGCTATATTATTGTGCAATAATCACTTTATACATAAAATAAAACAATAACATAAAATTAATTACTCATATTTTTCTTCGGTAATTATTTACATTAAGAGACACCAGATGGCACTGATCTTAACATATTTAATAATCCTCGCTTTGAATAGAAAGTTGGACACCCTAGGAAAAGTTAGGTGGACTTTGCTTCACATAAAATGTCTTATCTCATTTTGGCATTAAAAAAAAGAGCATTATATAAATTATATAGCAAAATATAGTACATGTAGTAAAATATACATTTTTATGTTAAAAAAATTACATTCTGTTTCTTCTTAAAAAAATACTAAAAGTAACTTCACCTTCAAATATCTCGGAAACTATAACAGACAGCCTAGTTCTTATATAAGGCAAAGTTATTTAGGATCATAACCTTGACAACATATGTCAAGGTCATTGGTGTATATGTGGTGTCCCTCAATATTTAATAATGACCATTTCTTCTGTAAATTGCTTATAAAATGAATATTTTCAATATAAACATCTTTATAGTATAAACTATAAATTATCATGAAGAAAACGTAGGCTTTACTAAATGTTATTAAGATTAATAGAAGAAAAACAAATCCGCAGTACATCTCTAGTATATAAATACATTTGTTACCCGCATCACTGAATTTATGCTGATAATGGTGTTGCTTGCGTAGTCTTCCGAATCGTCGAGCTTTAAGACAATTCTCTCCGCATAGATCTCGGAATCATAATGAATTGCTAGGCTCCCTAAGCCCACACTTTCCCACTTGTTGTCATTCGGCCATCTCGCGAATACAGTGGCGCGTTTCTCGATGATAGGAAGCATCTCCTGATCATCTTCGTCTTCCTCCTCATCCTCGTCATCCTCTTCTTCCTCGTCCACATCGTGATCTCGGTCATGTTCTTCACTATCCTCCGCTTGGCCGATACATCTTTCATCTATCCGGATATAAATTAATGTGAGACTGCATGCTCGCAAATTCAATTAGAGCATATAAATAAATATATATACAGGGTGTTTCAAATTCGCGCCCGCGAAGTACAAGATGTCATACTTTACGCTGAAAGAAACAATTTTTTCCTTTTGCAAAATTGCGATTGACTTGTAGTTTTTGCAGGAGAGCAGGTTGAAGTTAACGAATAAGTGCTCTGTAGTGGAATTCTCTAAATGCTTTATCGATGATTGTCGCTATCGTTAACTAGCAACAGCCAATAGCAGGACAATTCTAAAAAAAAAGCGCGGCTCTCATTAGCTGTCGCTAGTTAACGATACAACAATATTATCGAAAAACCGTTTTAGAAAATCCCGCAACTGATCTATGTAGCGCTCAGAGCCGGCGCGCACTCCTCGTTCACTTCGAAATATTTTAAAACATTAGAAAGTTGTTCCTTGTTTTATAGTGAAAATAAAACAGGAGTTTACAGATATTAGATTCTCTTATTTATTTAAATAATGATTCTGGTTTTAACATTGTAAAAAAAAACATGTAATAATCCCTTATATAGGATAACAGTGGAATAGGCGGCTTCAGCCTTTAAAATAATCCATTGGGGATTATTCTTTTTTACAACGTTAAAATCAGAATCATTATTTAAATTCGTTAACTTCAACCTGCTCTCCTGCAAAAACTACAAGTCAATCACAATTTTGCAAAAGGAAAAAATTGTTTCTTTTAGCGTAAAGTATGACGTCTTGTACTCCGCGGGTGCGAATTTGAAAACACCCTGTGTGTGTGTGTGTGTGTGTGTGTGTGTGTGTGTGTGTGTGTGTGTGTATATATATATATATATATAAATAGCACAATATACAAATAAGGCTCAATAAAATAAATATATTTTAATGAGGTGCGTAAGTACGAGCGTGTGACATTTGTAACCACAGATTTCTACATAATATTTATAATTGCTATCTCCGTAAAATGAGGTGAAGCCAACTTGACACGGGAGGAAATAAACGGCCATCTTTACCCAGTTATGATTTAGAACATTTAGATGACATTCAGCCGAAGCCAGGGCGCCATATTTACCCGGTCATCACGTACATTACTTTACGAAGTAGGTTAGTGTGTACACTACTTCACAAAATAATGTATGTGATGACCAGGTAAATATGACGCCCCGGCTTCAACTGAAATAACGTAACAATCTATAGCAATCTAGATATTCGCGATGCTCACATACCAATACGCCACCTGGTTGACAGAAGCAAAAGCTTTGTAAGGAGGCTACAGTTTTCGTTGCGTTGTATACGTTCGCATGTTTTACCGGATAATTATTAAATACTGGATCATGTATTTGCGATAATCGCGATGATAACGTGTGAACGTATACAACGACAACGAAAACTGTAGCCTCCTTACAAAGCTTTCGCTTCTGTTCATCAGGTGGCGTATCAATGAGCATCGCGAATTATATAAAAATGTGTTTGTAACAAACTTTACGAATGTCGTGAGACACAAATAACAGCAACCGAATTTTTTTTTCTAGAGTATAATTTGAAAAAGCAGACACATGTGCAAAATGCATAATAGTTTATTGTGATTAATAAAGTTTACAGTAATTTTTAAATAAAACAAATGATTGCAGTTGTTTAATATAGCGTAAATAATAAGTTCACAAAATCGATTACTGTCATAAAATGTATAAAATATCACGTAATCAAATGTTATATGATCAAATATTATATTATTTCGTTTAACTTTAGAAGTATATGCATTTTTTAAAATGCTTAGCGTTGTACACACAGCAGTAACGTGTAGAATCAGCGAACAAATAGAAGTGTGCAACCTAATAATCTCGTGAATTAACTACTACCTTCAGCAGTTCTCTTCTCGCGCAATTCTTGTTGAATGTTATCGATATGTGCCTTAAACTGCCGGGCCAAATCGGGTGATTTAAATTTAATCGCTAATTGTTCGACGCAAGGCTCCTGCTCGGCGTAGTTCATGCCGGCCCACATCCAGGCCTGGTTTGATGTAGAAAGCGGATGGAATTCTACGTCGAGAGTGATCAAGAAGTTGCAGACGACCTTATGCACTTGCTCTCGGCGCAGCAGCAACCGATAGCTACCGTGACCTACATGATGTAAGATCTTCATTTCGCCGATGCCGCGCTCTTTCCATTCCTTCGTGGCATTGTCATATCTGTATAACTTGGCTCTTTGACAGAATACTGTAAACGAATAAAAAAATAGTTTATAAAACGGAATTTAAATAGCCTTAGGAGTGAATAGCGAATACTGCAGTTTCTTTTCAAATATTCTTAAGTTAAGAAGTTAGATCTTATCATTATTTGTATTTACTTAATAAGCTGAACATTAAACAGTTTGTAAAAGTATGAAAGACCATCTTCTTATTGCAAGTTTATTTGATAATGATATATTGGATAATAAGTATTATTCTACACTTATTTTAACTTAACTCGTGATAGTACTGCGGTAGTTTATTAGAATTTGCGTTGTAAGTCCGAAAAAATTTCAGCGCGTATTTAAGAATCTACACATACGTAGTATATAATATTATATACGTAGTATATAAATTCACACGAAATTATAAATTGAAAGCATCCAAGATCCAGCTTGACCATTACGGCAAGTTCTCATTTAATTATATTATTATATTGGCCTAGTTTATGGGTGTGATCTACTTGACGCTACAAATGCTTCGAAGAATTTGTAGCATCAAATAGATCGTAGCCTATGGGTGCGATCAAAGTCTCACTACAAATATCTTTAAAGCGTTTCAAGTGCGATCAATCAAACGCTTCAAACTATTCTAGACGCAGATATGACGTCATGATACGTCATCATTTTCGCTTCCAGCTCGCTTCCATTGCTGCTGCCGAAGAGGTAGTGTAGCTGAAGCGTTTACTGTTCAAATTTACATACGCGAGAAAGTGGCGATCACTAGCGATCAGTGCAAAAAGAGCAAAAAATCTTACCGAAAATGTGATTTAAAATGTTGATTGTTGAATGATAGTATTATGCGCTCGATATAACTTTCAATTTTTTAATTAGAAGGTTCATTTTTTATAGAATCAGATGCTATTAAATCATCTTCATCGTCATTTATGTAAGGGAGTGATTCCAAAAGCTTGTTTACGCATATTAATACAAATTATCTTTATTCTATCCATTTAATCGTATTTGTATTCCAATATTACGTGTCGTATGTAGTATGCTGGTCAACGGTTCAATTTCGAAGCGTTTGTAGTGCTATTTTGACCGTACCAGAGTGAAGCGTTTGCAACTTTGAAAGTGTTCATTGACCGGGTCTATGAAACCGTTAACATTTTTTTTCATCAAAATCGGTCAAACTGTTATATATAAACTGAGAAATTCTTTTTTTTATTTTTCAGTGATGATTATATTTATTATCAGTGATGACTTATAGTTAAAATCTCGACCGGATTCGATTGAGGGCAGAACGTATATGCTTATCCTGCTGTTCTCTTTAATTCTCTGTTTTGTTAAAACATCGCTTTATTCCAAAAGCGCAAAAAAACTCACAATTATAACACAAAAAGCTGCATGCGCAATCGCATCGTTAGTGATCGAACTTGTACTGAACGTATTCGTTAGACTTTCTATTACATGCCACGCCACTATAAAAACCTAGTGTTGCTATATTAGCAGAAAAATATTCAGTGCACCAACTTTTTATCTATATCACATATACATATATATTAGTATTAATTTAAATTTAATATAAACGATTTACTATGTTAATATTACGTCGGTGCAAAAGTTCTTGCCGATTGTTTGCAATTTTTTTTATTACAATAGAAAGATCAGTACATTATATACTAATCAAAATATTTTCCATCGCGTTTTTCACACGACCTTTTTTTCATCTTTCCGGCAGCACACGGATACCATAAAAAAAGATCATTCATTGAAGCAATCTATTGATCGACCTATTTTTGTACATCTTCGGCATTTGAGAAGCTCTCACCAGATAAACTGTGTTGCATCGATCTAAACAGATAATAATAAGAAGCAATGTCTGGTAAATAAGCTGGATGCGGGAAAACATCCCATTCCAATTCTAACACTGCTTCTTTGGTCTCCTTAGCAACATGTGGTCTGGCATTGTCATGCAACAGAATGACCTTGCGACGGTTGCTAGATATTTGCGAATATTTCTGAATTAATTCTGTATACATTTGCCTTAATTATGCTTGCTGTAACGGTCTCTCATAATGTCTTGGTTCGGTGACAACAGTTCATAGAAGAGTATCTTCTTGGTCCCAACAGATACACAACAGAACCTTACGGCCATGGATATTGTGGCGTGGAGTCAATAGTGTTGATTGGCCGGATTTCACCCAATGTTTTTTTGCTTTTTGAGGTTATCGAAAAATATCTATTTTTCTCATTTCCAGTTACAATACACCACAAAAAACTTTTTTTTCTTGCCTAATAAGCAACGAAAGGCAGTAGCAAATATGCTCTTTATCTGGCTCCATTTTTAATTGTAATATACTATAAATGTAAGACTTTATTTTTTGACATTTATGATTTATCGTGCACAATTGTTAATGCAGAGATGTCAACTTACAAAAACCATAAACATTTCTATAAAGTCGATAAAGTCATACTAAGACATATGTAGATATATTATCCGCATCGGCAAATACTTTTGCACCGATTTAATATAAACATCTACGTTGACGAATACAGAATTCTACAATCAAGTCTCCTTATATCAAGCTAAAAAGACTCCAATTAAAAATGATAAAAATATCCAGCTACCTTTTTCCTCGTCTTCTTCGCCAGTTCGGACTTCAATGGTATCCGGTAAAGGTACAATAGGTTCAAAGTGAGGATCGTGCTCCTGTTCATTATCTGCTTCGCCATCGTCTTCATCATTTTCTTCCTTTTGCTCTTCGCGCGATGTATTTCGAATTGTCGAACTATTCAGCGAGGTATTAGATTTCGAACCGAACACTGATGATCCCGCGCCAGCGAATGTAAAGTTGGGATCTGAAAGAAGTATCAATTCAAAATTTAAAATACTGAAAGTCTTATACAAAAAATTGAAGAAAATTAAGAAAAGTTGATGTTTTTAACAAGGGAAACAAATTATATTGCGCTGGGAAATAATTTCAGACGTCTATCCGGTTTATAGTTGCTTGAGTACCAATAGCTTTTCTGATTATATAATGTTATGACGTACCGATTTTAAAAGCCTCCGGTTGCACCGCCGTCGCAGCAAGCGCCGAAAACGAAATGTTATCTGTCGATAAGAAACAGGGATTGTCCTCATTTTTCTGAACGTCATCCAATGGTTTCGTACTGAAAACAGCCGCCGTCGCACCGAAAACATTCGTCGCATTTGTTGCCGTATTGAAAACGTTTGTTGCGGCTGCCGCTGTCATCCCACCAAAGATACTTGTCGTTACCGGTGCTGTCGCTCTGCCGAAAAGATTAGTCGTCGTCGCCACCGTTGTCCCGCCAAAAATGTTTGTCGTTGCTGGAGCCGTTGTTCCGCCGAACAAGTTCGTCGTTGTTGTACCACCAAACGACAAAACATTATTGCTACCAAGCGTCACTTTAGAGAAAGGCGTGGAATTGACACTGAATACCGAGTTAGAGGACTGATTGGATGTAACTGTCGACGTGGTGATTACGGTCGATGTTTTCGGAACAAAATTTGCCGTAGTGGCTACAGTAGCAATGGAAGAAGAAACGGAATTGTTACCGCTACTCTCATTAAAGGTTAATGTTTTCGGCGAGGTTTTTGAGGCACCGCCGAAAATGTTCATATCGGAATTGAAAGAGAAAGTAGACGGCTTGAATATGGATGCCGTCGATACCGCTTGACCAAATATCGGATTTTGTCCGGCTGTGTTAGTCGCGTTAAAAGCAGTTGTCTGCGTTGTTTGAGCATTTGAAGAACTACAGATTTTAAGATTCTCGAGCGAGACACTCGACGACGTTGTCGTCGTTATTTTCTCCATCGTTTCGTTAGTACCAAATTGAGGATTCATGCCGAATGAAAAAGTCGTGGTTTTCTTATCATTGAACAGCTTCATATCACCAGTACCAAAGCTCATCGTGGAGCTGTCAAAGTTAGAAGTAGTCGAAGACTTAAACGCAGCGGTGGGTATTGCGAAAGAGAATCCATTCTTCACAGACGCAGACTGCGAACCGTTCTGAGTAATCTCACTAATACTCTCAGGACCGCTCAACGAACTTGTACCCAAGCTTGAGATGTCTTTCGATTGCGTTATCTTTTTTTCTTCCGGTATAAACTTCGTCGAGTCTTGTCCAGTAGTACTTGGATATAACACTATACTCGGTTTCCTACAGCCTCTGCAACCGGGGCAGTTTTCCTTTTGTTTGTAAGAATAAAAGTTAACTGGTAGCTGCAACTTTAAGGCAGCTGCCTTCTCTTCCGGAGTAACCTTAGCCTCGTAAACAATCTCGATCTCTTTAACTGGTGAGCTGATCATTTTTGTCAGCGTTTTCGTTATGGATTTACTCATTTTCTCACTGCTGCTGACAGCGGCGGTCGGTTTAATGTTTTTCCTGGCATCATCAATCGCTCTTTTGAAATCTGCTGCGATCTCGGACGTCTTAAAGCGGCAAGCGAATTGCATGTACTCAATCTCGCCTTCGCTATAATCCGCAGTGGTCCACAGCCATGTTTTCTCGTCCTTCGATGTGAACTCTAGCTCGTTGGACAGTATATGATTCAGACATAACTTTAGCACATGATCCCGACGCATGATCAGCCGCAGCTTCCCGGTTTCTTTATGACACAGCAATTTAATATCACCCAATCCACGTTCTTTCCATTCTTTTACCGTGGTGTCAAATCTGAAGAGTTTCGCTCGATGACTATAGAGCATTTCCTCATCCTCCTCGCCGGTTTTCACCTCGACTTTGTCTGGCAACGGTATAACTGGTGAGAAGTGGATATCTTCACTCTCAATCACCTCGTCTTCGCTGGTCTCACCACCGCCGCCGCCAGGCGATTTAGTCGGTAACTTGGCCGTAAAGTTAAACCCGAAAGACTTTGCGGGTGAGCCAAAAGTAAACGGCGAATCGCCTGTATTTAATGTGGTACTGCTTTTCACCGGCATACCGAACATGAAATTGGTGCCTGTAGTTTCTTCAGGTTTGGATGGAGACTTCGCACTCTCACCTATATTCTTATCCTGTGACATCCGGAAGCTAAAACCAGTGGCGGTTGTTTCCTTGGCAGTGTCTTTGGGAATGCCGAAGGAAAACGTGGTCATGGGAGTTACACCAGAAGATGATGCGTTCAACTGGAAGATGTTAGCCTGCTGCGGCTTAGGCGGTTGCGATGGATCCTTGGAACTGTCGCAGGCAACGCAGTAGTCGTTTGTCTCGGAATTAACGATATAGCATCCTGTGCAGGTCCAGGAGTTGGCAGGTGACTTAAATAACTCTGACAACGGTGGTTTGACAGAATCAACGGGCTTAGTAGTGACTGCGGAGGCATTCTTGTTACTAGTCGTAGAAGGAGCTTCACAGGCTATGCATTTCATATCTGTGGAATTATTTCTAATGTAACAATTAGTACACTCCCAAGAACCAGTTGGTGGTTTAAATAATTCCGACAACGGTGGTGGCTTCGCTTCCATGATGTTTTGACTGTTGTTCTTGTCTGATATCTGAATTTTCTTTTCGAGTGCTTTCACGACTTCGTTCGGACTACTGCCTGTAGCTAGCTTCTGCTGGCAGCTCGATACGGTATTGTAAAACTGTAATGCCAGTTCTGCTGTGTTAAAGGTCGCGGCGTGTAACAACCAAGACTTACCGGGTTCTTTGACGTTTCCAGGAACAGTCCAATTAACAACTGTAGTGCCATTTTTATACGTAAACGCCATATCCAACGGAATTCCATGACTATAGATTTTAGAGCTTCCGCCATCCGTCAGTAACAATCGAAACTTGCCAGATTTTTTGTTCAATAATAGCATCATTGATCCTGTACCTTTATTTTTCCACTGCATGGTTTTGGCACCGCTGACAGATTGACATTGAATGCTCGTTGGTCCGACAAATAACTTGTACTCCTTTTCAATCTGTGGTTGCATTTCGTTGTTAGACGATCCTTGCTTAATGGTGCCGGGTGGTGGCAAACGAGGTCTCCTCAAAGTTGTAGAAGTCTGATCGGTTATTGGGGATGAAGTAAATATTGGCGATTCATTGGAAGCTGCGCTCACAACAGACGATTGCGAATTTGTTGTTGAAGTCGTAGCGAGAATAAAGTTCGCAGATGGCATCGAGACGGCGCTTGTTGCAGTTGTGGTCGTGATTTTCGTTTCGGATTTATTAGTTGATTTAGTAAACGAAAATCCGCTGAATGGACTGACTTTCGGCGGTTCATCGGTTTTCTTGAAGTCATTTGCTTTTGTATCGCTAACTTCTTGAATAATAGGTTTAGAACTGAAGAAAAATCCTCCTAATGTTGTCGTACCAGATTTCAATTTATCAGAAAAAGGCACTTCCGTTGTTGAACTTATCTTATCTTGTTGTGTTAATTGTGATTTCTGAGTCATGGACGAGTTTTTGTCGCTAGAAGAAGCGGTGATAATTTTCTCATTGATCTTGTACGCCTTTTCCGGAGACGTTACAGATAGACCTAGTCTGGCTTGGTCAAAAGCCTCCTTAAACGTCATTGCTTCTTCTGCAGTTTTGAATCTGATACAAAGTTTTTCCAGTTTCACTTCCTCATCGGCGAAATCGTTAGCAACCCAAAACCAAGCCTTGGTGTTGTTCGTCATGGGACTCAACTCCATGTCGGACCTCAGCATGTGATTCGCGCATATCTTGAGAATTTGATCGCGACGCATTAACAGACGCACTTTACCTTCTGTATTGCGCAGCAGTTTCACGTCACCGACGCCGCGTTCCTTCCATTCTTTGTCAACAAAGCGAAACAATTTTGCTCGGCCGCAATATAGAGTATCCTCGTTCTCTTCACCAGTAGTAATTTTCACCTTTGCAGGTAATGGTATAACGGGTACGAAGTTCGGTATCGGATCATGCTCCTGCTCGCACACCTCTGTGGATGTATTTGGCGATTCAATCGACTCATAGGTATTGTCGGTTTTGTCATGTATCTTACTACTATTAGTAGTATTATTCTGAACGTTTTGTAAAACATCACTGTTAGTTGTCTGAGTCACAGTGATAATAGATGGTGATGCTAGATTGGCATAGATCGGGGACGCATTGATATTGGCCGGCGTTACATAAGTAGAGGTTGGTGGTAAGTTGACAGTAGTCGGTATAGTGGCTTGAAGGGGCATGGGAATCTGATAGCAATGAGGTACAGTGGAAGATGACGATTTTGTTGTCGTTATTGTCATCGTCGTTATAGGCGTAGTGGATAAAGTGACAGCAACTCCACTTCCTATTCGATATTGTGGTGGTATGGTGACACTTAAGGTCGGTTGAGTGGATGGTACTGTGGTTGGTAGCGTGTCGGATGTTGTAATGACTACGTTCACAGGAGGTGCTTTGTTCACAGGTGCATCTTTAATTGTCGTCGTTGTTGTTGTAGCTTCGGGTTTAGTTCGTAATGGAGTTTCGATTTTCTGCTTCAATGATATTTGTAATGATGGATTCGCCGCGGTTGCCGGCATGAAATCGGGCAGCTGCGAAGAAAGCGTAGATGCAAAGAGGCCTTGTTGCAATGGATTATCCGACACTTTCGTCTGATTAGGATACAGCATGGGCATTGGATAAACGGTGTGTGGATATAGAGACGATATGGCTGCCTGAGTATTTGGATCGGGGAATGGTAATCCTCCCTGATAATACTGGAATGCGGTCGCTGCTGAAGGATACATCAGCGACGAATAAGGATGTCGAGCATGCTGTGATGTAAATATGTTACCGGAAATCGAAGACGTCGGACCGGTCGGTTGATTTTGATAGTTCAAATCGACATATTCGTCATCGTCAAGAACGTAGAGGTCTTCAGGATCGACAGCGGGATTTGCACTCTGTTGTTGGTGTACACGCTGCTGCTGATGCTTTTGATTTTCTTTGCGCGACTCCACTACCTCTTTCTTCAGATCATCCATTTTCTCAGTCAACGTTTTCATTTGTATCATCATGTTTTTCATCTGCTCCATCATTTCCTGTATTTCATTGTCCCGAGACTGCATAATTTGACGTATTTGAGCGTCAAGACGCTCTGGGCTCGGACGTGCCTCCGTGCGGTTCTTCGACAGATTCAAATAATCCTGCAATCTGCATGGTGTACTAGCGTGTTTTGGCGTCCGATGAATGTTCCTCTGAGGGGTGCTTAGCATGTTCGAACCAGTCAGCGTCGTTAACATCGGCAATGTCGGATTCGTGACCGCCTGATCCACGGCGCTGTGAGTGGGCGAATAACTCTCGTCGGATATACCATCGATGTCATTCCTACTCAAATCGCTCCTTCCTAGATCTGGATCTATTCTCTTCAACTCATTTTCAATATCAGTGATATGAGTACCGAGCTCGGAATTCAATGGATGTTTAGGATTCGTGCCCGGACTACGAAGTCGATCGAGTGTAAGATAAAAGCAATTTCTCGCTTTTGACAGCATTATGATGTGTTGCGATCGCATCTCTGACGTTAGACTCTCGCGGGGCGTGGAATCAACTACCTCGTCCGCAAAGATTTTGTAAATTTGCGCCAGCTGAAATGATGCCTCTGGGCATTTGAGCACCTGCAACGCGTCGATTGCCTGCTCGTACTGTTTATCGCGTACAAGTCGCTGAGCCAATAGTAACTTGCCTTCCTCAAGCGCATTCGTCAGTTCGAAATTGTTCAATTCTTTACCCTGATAATTGAACAATTTTGATGGAGACATACGTAACGTTTGATTGTTTTGTAACCTTTCTAAAAGCGGTAAAGCGGCGGTCCAATACAGCTCGGAACGTGCCTCCCATCTAGGAATGTAGCCATTCGCCTCGTCCTTCTCCTTCATAATCTTCGCGCGATAATGAAACATGCGCGCCAAATGTACCAATAACACCGGATGCATACCGTGATTGCCAATGCAACGAATGACTTCCAATCCTTGCTGCAATTCTTGTCGTAATTCGCCGATGTCACCATCTACATCTTCTCGCTTGGAATACATCTTGTATACCGCCAACCACCATTTCTCTTGATTAGTTGTGGACAATGTCACAGTAAGATCGATAGGCAATGTCGGTAGCTTTTCTGGATTCACAAAGCTACCAAGTTGCTGCTCTTCTAGAACAGCGGACGAGCACAGAATCGCTGCGTTGAGAAACGCATCGATATCAATAAGACACAGGCTGTCAGGTGCCGCTTGATTTGTGTTAAATACTGAAAATTGTAATGCCGGGAACACACGCGAGGTTTGATCCGGGTACGGAGCATCTTTGTTTTGAGACCGATTCTCCATCCCAAGCCAGATTTGATGGTGCAATGAAGCAGGCCACACTTCTTGTGCAACTGCAAACAAAAAGTTAGAAATGTTTCTATTATCCTTTTTCTTTTTTGACATTATTGTTTTCCACTATGTGACAATATACTTATTATGTACATTATTGCAACTATTGCAAAATTAAACTCAAGAATTTGTTCTAAGCAAAGGATAAATTTGGATAAATTTGGATTTTTTTAAAACTAAATTAAAGTTACTAATTTACAAAATTAATAAGCAATATTCAAATCTAAAGACCGTTAATGTACGAACATAACTAATACGAATACGAAGTCTATAACAGTTTAGCTCGGATCTTTAATTGCTTATAATTTTGCATGAATTGATATACTAATATATGTAATCCCTCTAAACTGCGCACCGAACGATTGTCGATCTTGAACGCAACTCTAATAAACTACCGCGGTAGTATCACGAATTAAATTAATTAACAATTTAATAGATTAATTGATGCTCTTTTTTTGACATCTTACATCAATGTTAAAATATATTAAAATCTGGAAATAAAATTAATAAAACTAAGTTAAAAATTAAAGGAACAAAAATTATCTTAAAAGTTAAGATTAAATTAACTTAAATTTAAGAAAAGTTAATTAAAAATTATTTTGAGATCAGAATGTACTAATTTTTTTTTAATTAGAGTTTAAGAGAGATTACTTTACGTAATAATTACAATATAGATTATTATTATATACTAGAATTTAACTTGTTATTCACATGTAAATTATATCTATTTAGAACCAAAAGATATGTATATGTAAAAATTTAGATTTTTTTTTTCATTTAAGGCTTATTTCTTATTTATGTTGTTGAAATATGATATTTATAGCACCCCTAAAATTAGTGTGATTCAAATATAAGCGGAAATTGATAAAATCTAGCAAGTAAATCAAAATCAATTTGCATATAGCGTGACTCTTATTATAAGGTTTCTAATCACAAAAGCATTAGTTTTTTGAATTAATTCTCTAATATTTAAGATCATATAGAAAAAAAACTAGCATTAAAAGATATTTCAAAAATTTTAATTTAAGTTAATAAATTATATTTTAAAAGTAACTTATTAAGTAAAAAATTAATGCATTTAAAATTAACTTAAACTTTTTCTTAACTTTTAAACGTTTTAACTAGTTAATACTCAACCTTGGTTCTGAATGTAATTTGTTATTATTAATATATAACAATTATGCTTCTTATCTAATAACAAAAGCAACGTGATATTTGTTATATATTATGGAAATTAATGAATTGCGAAATAGATATAAAATTCTTGACTATCCTTACGTATTTTAATATTATAAAAGCAGAAAGATTAATAAACATACTTTGACTATAAGTCCTTAGCTGATTTGCAGTACACATGCGTAAAGGTGGATCAGGAGCTGAATGATGATGGCAAAAAAATGAATTCCTTATATGATCAAGGTGTATTTTGGTTATAAAAATTCTCTGCAAAAGAAAATCCACATTAAACGTACATTAAAATAATATTTAATTATCAAGATTTGTAAGAAGCGCGACTTGTACCTGATAAATCCGTTCTCTCCAGAGCCCTGTGCAAAATTTATCAATTCTATCCATCAACTTTTTCGTGTCATCCCTGGCATAATTTTGAAGAATGTAACCTATTAAAATAGAGAATATAAAACTATTAGTAAAAGTTAATAAAGACATTTAAAAATATAGTAATACTATAGTGTACATGGCGTTTTCTGAAATCTTAAGATAAAAGTGATCACTTTTGTTTCAACGTTCAATGACTCGGTGAAAAAAATCGTACAACGTTCATTAAAAAAAGCAAGGTATCTTTACATTCAAGGTAAAGATTCAATCTTTCGATTGCTGTAAATCGCATTTTCGTGTAATTAACCTTAGTAATTGACCTTACGTCTTAGACTCGAGTCCCATGAGGTGTATTTTCTGCGTATAACCAATCAGTAAAATGCGAAAGCACAATAGCAGATTGCTTCTTATTGGTTATTCAATTACACGATATATAGAGATTGAAATAACAATTACCGATTTCGTAAGTAGAGATCTTTAAAATACTTTTTTAATTTTTTATCTGCGATGATTCTTTACCGAGTTACAATCCGAATATTGCCCAATTTTTAGCATGTTCGAAAGTGTTCCCTATTTTTTGTTGAGTAGTATATATATGTATATATATAACCGAGATCTGTCTCCAGATATATACACATACAGAATGAGGAAAAAGTATGGAAACCGTAAAAAATCTCAAAAAATATTAAGTTTTACAGAAAAATGTTTCGGATAAAAATTGTAAGATTTAAAAAGATCTATTTGTTAGTCTTATCAATTTGATAAATAAAATCTCGTACGTACTGTTGTCAAATCTGATTAACTATGATAGACACCGACAAACCAGTCAATGTCTTTAGCTTTTACGAAATTGTGTTTTGTTGACTGGCATCGTATTGAGCATCACATTAATGTAGCAATACAAAAAAACATTTATTTTCATTTTTGTAATAAAAATTCATTTTTACGTAAAAATGAAGAGAAACAACCTCCAATGGTCTTGATCTTGACAAATGATCCAAACCGTAATCCTGAACATTATTTAAGAGATTTTAGCCATCGGTCGGATACCTTGGATAACAGTAATGTCAGTAGTACTTTAAATTCAAATCTTGTAACTCGAAAAGTACTTAATGAGAAATAATTTTATTATAATGTTTTGGAAAGCTCTCAACACCAGCTATTAGATTCTGGAATGAAAAATAGGGAGTTTTATTTAAAGAAAACGATTAGATCTTAACCTGACTTAGGGTAACACTACCCAAGATCAAATGAATGTGATCAGTGAAAAGATCTTTTTAAACCCTACAACTTTTGTCTAAAATATTTTTCTCAAAAAAGCTTTACTTTCAAGATATTCGATTATTTACAGACTTTTAATACACTCTTATACATATTTATGATATATTATAAATTAGTGGAAAAGAAGAAATTCATTTTTTATAATTGAGTCATAAAACGTTCAGAATATGTGAAGCTCATTACAGTACCTAATGGATGCATTCGATACGACGACCGCTCACTGAGAGCTCAGTGAGCGCTTGTATCTGTTTGGTTTATATATTTAAATCTAATGGAATATGGTAATCATATGCAAGAGCTCAGTGAGCGCTCAATGAGCGGTCGTCGTACTAAATGTACCCATTGATTCTTTTTTACTGAGAGTACTGAGGACTATCTTCTATCATCACCCTAATTTTTTAAAAATAAAAACGCATAAACACCCAAGAATTTAAATAAGTATACATGGATACGGATACAGTACTTACTACTAATTGATATTTCACATTATTAAGAAAAAAAATAATCAAAACAATAGTTTTCAAAAAGGATAAAATTTATACCAGAAAGTTTGCGGGTTATCGTCGTGTCTTTCTTCATTATTAATGCCATTAATAATGAAGAATGGCATTAATAATGAAGACATGGTGATAACCCGCAAACCTTCTGGTATAATTGAAGAAAATACCCGTGAAAGCCTCAAAAGGATAAAATTTAAATTTAAAAAAATAAGATTTAAAAAAATAACTACCAATCTTTCCCATTTAATGTTAACTTATAATAAATCTCCATTAATCGAATAATCCCATAACCTCCTAAAAAAAAATAAAATTCCACGAAAATTACTGCTTTTCAAGGATAAAAAAAAAGATCTGAAAATTCAATATCTTCCATTTTTCTCCTAATAAACATCTTATTACAGGATAATTCATTTTACGTACCAGCTTGGCAACATCGATATGCTGCCTCCATTGCCCATATATTGAACTGATTCTTAAATTCATCCTCTAATTGTATGCGTATACGATTTTCCAATGGAGCTACGTGTAATGCAGTTAATAACAGCGGTGAGCATAATCTTCCTGCTTCGTTCCAACTGCCTTGCTCACATTTTGTTTTACGTAATAGCAAACACGCCAAGTGAAAATGCAACTGGCCCCACATGTGTGTGAACAAGTGTTCCGTAAAGGAGTGTTGTTTAGAAAAGTTCTTTGACTTCATCTCGTTCAGATTTTGGTCAAAACTATATCATAATATTTGTTTTATGTATATATTATAAAAATAAACATATGGAACAGAAAACATATAAACATAATTATTTTGTTTCTAAAATATGTAAGATATATTCTACAGATATTAGGGGAGAATGTCCTAAATCGGACCTTTTTAATTGAAATAAATACGGTTAAGCGCAGATTTGTGTGTGCTATTTATAATGTAAAGTCTTTATAAGACACCGAACAAGTGACAGCAGTTTAGAAGTACTCTGTTATAACGTTCATAGAATAGACGCAAATATGTATTTTCGGCTATCATGCGAAAATTTTTTTAAAAAAAGAAGATCCTTGTAAATCATTTAAAAGATGTTAAAAATTTGAACGGTAATTGATTTAAGATAATTAAAGAGTGTAGAATTCAAAAATATCAAGAGTTTTTTGATTACTTTTGTGATTTATTGTAAAGAACCCGTGTCCAAAACGAACCTTTCTTTAGAGTGTCCAAATCGGACCTATACAAAAACCAATAAACAGACGGGTAAACCAGCTAATTCATCGAAGAAAGAAGTTTCGTCATAACCTGGTTATAGTACTGATGATCGAACGATCAGAGATCTGATCTAAGGAACACTACATCAATAAAATATCATATATCATCAGACTCTGATAGAATTTTTTATTGATTTTAATTCTAATAATATAAACTGTATTTTTATCTTTGAATTTTAAATTGCTCGTTTTTACTTAATACTAACAAAAATTAAAATTTTTTACAAATTAAAATATTTTAAAATATTATCTAAAAGTCCATAAAAATAGGAGAGATCCAATTTGGAATGCACAGTTCCAAATCGGACTGGAAAATGCATTTTTACATTTTCCATTATAGTTCGACAGGTAAGAGATACGTCAAAATGGCCTAAAGCAAAAATAAAGGAAATTAAATGATCTTTTGAACGGCACCATTGTGATTTTATAATCGGACTTTATTTACCTCACAGAGAACAAAAACTGCAAATATGTCCGATTTAGACCACTCTCCCCTATATCAATAATTTTATCACTGTTTCACTACCACATTAGAAAAATACATTTTAGTTTATAGAGACGTATCGATATAACTTACTTAAATACTGCCTGAGCTGCCTCTTGAATGCTTTTCTTTGTTTCACTTCCTTGCTCCTTAAGACATAATCCCGCATATTTATCAGATACAGATATATAGAATAACCAGAAAGACCAATCAAGAAATTTAGTCTCTTTATATTTTGTTAATAATTCATACAGCAACTGATACCATGCAATGCTGTCCTTATGAGGGACAGTGACCTCTACACTGATGGCATGTTCATAAGCTTTATCCAATCTACGCTCCGACATATAATAATTTAACAATTTGATGCGAAGTTGCACATCAGTCGGTCTCGCAGCTAATTCAGCTAGAAAATTTCATAGGTTAATTCTGCTTCCTATAATTATTCTATTTCATAATATATATAATTATTTATATATAATTATTTACATGCGAAAAGTGCCTCAAGATCCTCACTGCTGTTGTTTGGTTTCTCTATAGTTAAAAGTTTTTCTTTTAATTGAAAAACTACTGAATTATGTGGAAATAGTTTATCAGCTCTCTCTACCCAATACCTCAGTTTAGTAGCATCCATTCCTATTTCCATGTCAACCAATAATTCACATACTAAAAAAAAAAAGTTTAAATATTATTATAATGATATAAAGTATTCAAAGGATAATGAAAAGTAAATGTAAAGGCTCCATCTTCTTACCTTTCAAAACCAGATTATCTTGTCTCCCTTCAAGTTCAAGGGAAACTTTGTACTCATTAAAAGCTGCTTCTTTCTGACCAAGAGCTTCATAAGCCTGACCCAACAACTTATGTGCACTGGCAGAACTATCTCGTATTTCTAAGTAATTAAATACATATCTTTTTGTGGATTCATAATCACCCACTTGATAATACAGTTTGGCAACATTGTAACAACGAAGGTTTTTCTGTAAAAAGAATCACAAATACTAAGGAGATTCCACAATCCAGATTCAAGTATAAAATATAAAAATATATTATCGTTAATTTTAAATATATTTAAAAATGTATTCTCATAATTTAATACTAAATTGTGTTATAATTAATACAACACTTCTTTTTCATATCCAGGTTATCTAGACAATATCACACTAATAAAGATTATTATTAAAATTATTAATGAATTAAATCTTTTACTATACAAATATAATTTTCTATATTTTATTCCACTTATATTAACTATATTAACAGAGAAGAGAAATAAAACAAACTTATATTAAGTTTATATTAAATAAAATTATATATTATATACTCTGAATATATAAAAAACATTTCAAGTTTTAAATTATAACTTTTTTCATTGCAATGAAAATTTAGTTTAAAAGATAGTAGTTATTAAACAAACATCTGGAGGATAAGTTCGTAACTAATGACTGTATTAGGATAAACATGAACAAATAATGGCTGCAATCAACTGAATAAGACATATGAATTTTTTGCCATCAGTATCCTGTTGAAAAAATTTTTATATTTTTTGTATTACATATTAAGTTGTTCTAAAAGTCCATTTCAAGTTTTCTAGTTCAAAATAGTATATTATACATTTCAAAAATTAGCAATTATGCCATTTGATAGAGCAAAGTTTTAGCTTTAAGAATCTGAGTTCTTAATCGTGGTACTATAATTTTTTTCAGAGTTATGAGCAATTAAAATCAAAATATTCCTTTACTTAACTCGTAAATAAACTTAGGAATAAAAAAATTGTAGAAACATTTTTATAAAATTTTTCGTAGGGGAAGCTTCAAGCTTTCATAAGTAATCAAAAATTTTTGAAAATTTTTTGAGGCACATGAAAGACTCACAAAGTAAAAAAAAAGTTTTTCATCTTTTTCAGAGAGAGCTCGTAGTTTTTATATGCAAAAATTATTAAACACACAGAGACTCAAAAAAATAAAGTAACCTATCAAAAGTAGAGATTTCAAGTTTTAAAGTTCCTTTTTTTAAATTTAAATTTTTGTTCATTATTTACAAAAATGCTGTATAATATATACAATTTTGAACTAGAAAATTGAAATAAACTTTTCAAACAACCTAATATAATACATATCAATATTTTAAGGATTTTTCACGTATTAGTATTATAAAGATATCTGAAAAATATCTTATAGATTTCTTCAAATTATAAGTTTTTTTCGAAAGTTATAAAACAAGAAATCTCAAAATATTTCAAAATTAAATAAAGAATTCCAGAAAAGATGCATTTACATACTTTATCAACATTTTGACAAACATTCTAATTTATATTGAAATCTTCTAAAAAGTTGCAATTACATAAAAAAACGAAAATTTTGGAATTTAGATTAGAAATTCGAAAAATTATACGAAGAGTTCGAAGAAAAATTTTCGTCAGAAAAGCGCGAGAAGTTTCCCGCGAAAACTTGCCGTGATTCAGAAGTACGTCGCGAACTTATTTGACATAATGACTCAAAGATTGCCGTTCGGTGACTTTGACCTTGTTTACCGAGCACACGCATACTAACCAGTAACCTCCTATTAAATTAATTTCGACGATGCGTGTAAATGTATACACGATGTTATTTAATTAATCATCTAAATGCATATGTTTACCAAGCTAGTGCACCAGCTAGTTCTTTAAACGTATTGCCGCAATTAAGCTAATTTAACAGAAAGTTAGTAGAAGTATTTGGTGTAAACTATAAGACATTTAGGCGGCCAAGTAGTCGTCGCTCGGAATATCGAAACATATCGAAAGTACTACTTATTATTGATATTGATATCGGTTGTAATTTGCAAACAGAGACAAGGAAAGAAAACTCATTCAGCAAGCGAATGTCGAGGGCAAAAAGTGAATGTTCTCATGTGCAATAATAACCTTACCTCGTTCTCATTTCGCAGTTTGCAAAAGACGTTCTGCACGTGGCGGTCAACGTCCTTCTTCGAGCGGAACATACTGCCGATTGAATCGGCCCTACACACTTTCGTCGTAACTGCTCACAATCGAAATGAATCGTTTTCACAACTTGAGTGCTTCACAGCGGCTCATCGCAAAAATTGATTCGCAACGCAACGTATCTCTTTCAAACGGTCACCCGTCGACCGTCGAATTCTACGCCGCCAACATAATGATCGTTAACACGAATTTTCTCTAGACGAGGTACAGGGTATCGATCCATGCAACTTTTTCCCTAAAGCGAAAACACAAGGATGCTATTTTTTCATTTGTGCATCTTTTGCCTGGTTTATGCTTCAGGTCTTAATCCCAAGATCCTAAAATTCAACCAATAAAGCTGCCAGTTCTAACCGAAATTTGAACTCTATTGGCTGAATTTTAGGATTAAGATCTTAAGACCGAAGCATAAACCAGGCATTATGCTTCGGTCTTAAGGACTTAATCCTAAAATTCAGCCAATAGAGTTCAAATTTCGGTTAAAACTGGCAGCTTTATTGGTTGAATTTTAGGATCTTGGGATTAAGATCTGAAGCATAAACCAGGCATTTGGGTATGGTTAATTTAATGCTATAAATCCTTTAAAACTTTTTCTGATTGGGACATTTATACATTATTAAATTCGTAATTTTTTTTATTATGTAAAACGAAAGTTTGGCGAAAGCCAAACTCTAGTTAACTTATCCATTCCAGTAACTTTGCAGGATTGACGAATAGCATTTATTATTTGGTTTTAGACGATAGACGCGATTGGTCAATTTCAATGGACTAATCAACCGATTAAGTTAGGCGAGAAACACACACTTTTGCATAACGCATAAAGCATGTGCATAAAGAATTTGATTGGTTCATTGACTCATGCATAAGAAAATGGACCAATGAAATTCCTTATGCACATACTTTATGCGTTATGCAAAAGTCTGTGCTGCGGCCTTAAAACTCTATTGTAGCCTAGTTATGCCTAGTTTATATTGGATGCGATGGGCGATGAACGACGAGCGATATCCAATAAAAGCTTTGCTTTAGCTCACACGACGATGTAAAGCAGAGTTCTTATTGGTTATCGCTCGTCGCGCATCGCTAATCGCGCCTAGTGTGAATTAGGCATTATGCCAGCTGCACACCAGCGCGATATTCGTCGCGCGCGACACGCGATATCCAATGGGCGGCTAGCTTTAGAATGAGAACATCGGTAAAGCTGTACGCTTATTGGATATCGCGCGTCGCGCGCGACAAACATCGCGCTGGTGTGCAAGAGCCATTATGCATTTCATGTGTTTTGGGCTTTAAGCTGGAAACACAATAGGCACAGGCAATAAGCACAGGCAACAGGGAATAACGAGCCGTCCAATCAGAGCTCTGACATATAAGTTCGATTTTATATCCCAGAGCTCTGATTGGACGGACCATTATTCCCTGTTGCCTGTGCCTTTGTGTTTCCAGTTTTAAAGCCATTTATTGAAATTGACTATTCTTTTGGTACCAAACTATCGTTAAAATTTCATATAGACCTACAGTTATCGATATTTTAAAACATCTCGGTATCTTAGCGATTTCTTTAAATTCTTCATGTGGTCGAAAGTCGGAAAACCAAATAGGGGTCTAAAGAAGAAGAAAAATTGAAGAGGACTTCAATATTCATTCTAACCGATCTGTCATATCGCAACTGATCCAAACTGATCGCAACTAAGTAGTTGAAGTACAATGGTGGAAGAGGTTGTCAATCCCAGCGTTAGGACGAAAGTAAGAACAATGAAATTGTGCATAAACGAGAATTTGTTGTTGATGTTAAATTCAGTGTTATAGTTCTAAATAAATGTGTCCTTCGAATAAAATAAGGACGACAAGGTTATTTTATATTGGATTTTATATTAAAATGCTCAACATTTTGTTTCGGAACATATTTATATTTTTTTTGTTTATATATCTGAAGCTAATTCTACAATGAGTATGTAGTTGAAAGTCTTAATCTTAGTATGCTTTCCTTTTAGAGGACACACTCGACACAAACATCGTTCTATCTTTATCATTCGTTGAATGTTAAGAAGGATAGAACGACGTTTGTGTCGAATGTGTTATCTAAAAGGAAAGCATACATAATTGGTGAAGTTGGTCAATCAGCGTAGTCGTATGAGTTAGTTATTGGTCAACTTTACCAATAATTGACTATCAACTCATTGTAGAATCAGCATAACAACATATTGCTGTATTTGATTTATTCACATGATCTGACCCAAATCAATAGTCTCTTCATCAATAGTTTAGCTGCAAAAGAATAGTTAAACCATATAAGAAAGTGCAACTAAAAAAAATAGGTCGTTGACTCGGAATTGTTTTGTGACAGTAAATTGAATACATTACAAGTCTTTGTATGCATTCTATTTTATGCTTGATGAGCATAATGTATTATTTTATCTTTTTTTAATATTCAGTGAATAAAAATGAAATGATACATCATGCACGTAGCTGCTAGCTTTCAACTAGTGTTTCTCTGGAGCTTAAAAGTCATGTATTTGACTGTCCTGCAGGAGATTGCTTAGAAAGCTTTTCAGTTGGGAGATACAATTAAACACATTGTCAGACACAGAAGTACTATATAAAGTTATTTGTAGTTTAAAAGGGCTATTAAATTTTTGCAGCAAATTGAAATCTTTTATTTTTTTTAAATGATTGATAGCCATGTATTTGATACACAAGCCTCAATTTTAGCAAATTTAAATTCCATTAAATTTAAATTAGTAAGAAATATTATTTGAATATATATAAGTAACTATCATTTTTATTTGAGATTAAAATGTTTCTTTTATTTAACTGGCTCTAAGCTCTTTTATTTTCTAAATTAATAATCAAAGTTTAATATTAATATAGATATTTTTCATGAACAATAACACATTTCAATATTTTCCGGTTACCTTTTTTTTCGATTATTGGCATAAACCAATTTTTCTACAGCACTCAAGTATTTCAGAATCGAACTTCCAGATTAAAATATTCTTTTCCATTATCAATAGATCTTTACTTTTCAAATCCATAAAGGTTTAATGAAGAATGATCAACGTTTTTCTTCTTACAACTTTTTTGTGTAGACTCGCAAAGAGAACTTTTTTTTTCATCATTAAAACATTAATATCAACAAATGGCACAAGGAAAATCCAACAAATGAAATTTTTTATTCGTTGGATTTTACTTGTGCTATTGTATTTTATGTAATTCTTTATTGGTCATAAAATTTAAAATGTCTTTTTATAGTATTCAAGCAAACATTACAATAGTCTTTAAATTCTTTTTGGTGAGTGCATTATCAGCGTTAATGAATTATTTTAAATTCTATTCTTGTTTTACATCTAATGAATAAAGATAGAATAACATAATAGCGCTGATAGGTGTAGATATCATGTTCCTCGAACGTAGTTTTAGGGACCTATTCTATAATTTTTAACGACTATAACGTTACAGTTATCCTTAACTGAACTTCTTGCACAGTTCACCTTATTTTTTCTTTATCTTTCTAACGTAAACAGAAAAAGGAGAAAGATAAAATATTGGTGCAAAAAGTTCAACTAAAAAGAAAGAATTCTAGTAAAAAAAGTACGGGATATCTAGTACATTCTTAAAAGTATTCTTGTTGCATTTTACAGAGCAAGACAACTCGACCACGTCCAGTGTATTTATGGAATGTGCTAGATGTACAGAAATGGCTGAGGCGACACTGCAGCGACTATTATCAGCTATATTATGAACTATTTCTGCATGTAAGTGTTTTTTTACTCTATCATAAGTATGTTTTTCAAATTTTGTTTTTAATTTTGCATCTCCATAGATTTACCGCGATACTAATTCCATATAGATTGTCGTTAATTGTACATTAAGAGTTTCTTATTGATGAGAATATATATTTAACAAAAAATTAAAATCTTTATTTTTTAAGCACGACATTACAGGAAAGACATTGTTAAGAATAAATGAGAATAGCTTGAGACAGATTGGTATCGATAATGAACAGCATAGGATGGACATTTGGCGTGAAATTATTAAATTGCATCTTAAAACAGATATGCTAGAGCTTAAGGACATTGAACGACGTGATAATATGATGAACCTGGATCGAAACATGTGAAATCTATTATTGCACAGTATATGTTTTAAGTATGTATTATTTATGGTATGTATGTGTGTGTATATGTACATATATATATATGGATAAAGACGTACGAGTGGGTCAAATATAAACAAACATTTCTTTAAAAAATTTTTTTATATATATGTAATAAAAGTACAAAATATCTTTTTTATTTTCTCCTTTTTTGTGATCTCCTGCTTTGGAAACGTATTTCCCCCGTTTAACTGGAAGCTTCTTTATACCGTCACTATAAAAAGAAGTTTGACATGTTGTGAGCCAATTGTACACAAATGCCTCTACTCCTGCATCGTCCTCAAAATGCTTCGTGCGAAAGTCACGTGAACTTGAGGATCCTAAAGATAATGGGTGGCGCATTCAGCGGACTCAATATTTCAGTGAGCGCTCGCTAATATTGGTGTATTCTTCCAGATCTAAAATTGTGATTGGATGATCTAAAAGAATACACCAATAACAGAGAGCGCTCACTCAACTGTTGAGTCCGCTGAACGCGCCCAAAGTTTCATGTCGAAAGAACATATGGTGCTGTAAGAACCAGTTGCGCACAAGCCAATCACAACGCTAGAAAAAAAAATTCCCTACGCAGAAATTGCTGTGATAAGCAGTGGGTAATAGCAGAGAGAAACCTGAGAGCGGCCATGGCGGCCTTTTTCCTGTAATGCTTCTCACTAGCGGCACCAACGTCCATTTTCGAGCTGCGGGAACTACGTATCACTAAGAGTCCTAGATATCAGAGAAGCGCAACCGGTGTGCCGCATTCTGATTAGCTGACTGTCAGCCAATCATGACATTCATTCAGTGGTACTAAAAATGGCTGACTAACAGACGATTGGTGGATTTCAGTTCGTCCGCAAACGACGCCATTTTTAGTACTTTTCTTAGTAGTTTTGCGTTACTGACTTAAGCCGGTTGCGCTTCTCTGATATAGCATAACTATGCATCCTTTCGGTAACTGCCGAAGGATGAAAAATAGCTACCATAATTTACTTCATTTTTAACCATTTAAATTTGCCGCATAATGATGACGTACTGGATGACAATTCTCATTGATTGTCTGGACTATCATGCGCGTGAGCATACCCTTGTCTTTATACCATGATTCCACCTAATTTGGCAACCCTGCCGTTCTTACTGACGGGTAGAGTCACAATTCTATTTCACGTTATATAAACGTGGGATCCGTAATTTTGAGTTCTTTTTCTGTGGGTTTTTCAATAAGGATGGTAATATAGTTTTGTTTATTGTTTGTAATTTTCCTGAATTTTCGCACAATACGTTTCGCGTTTGCAAAATTTTCTTTGCTATTGCTAAGGCCAAATATATGTTGCGTTTTGATGACATAAATTTCACAGAGGATCAATATCCTTTCATTAAAGCTTTATCTCTAAAGTGAGCCATGTGGCTACCACATTATTTAATTATTTCAAAGATATAACGAGAGTTAAGTTTAAACTTCTTAATTTAATCGTAGAAACACGAATCGATTAAGCATGTTTACGATTTATCGTAAAGCTCAACGAGGCAAAGACTCTAAAGCGAATTATAACCTAATAATTTCCCATGTGTATCACATTGCATATTTAATGTGAATACTGGTTTTGGACTAGATTCATACTATACATATATATGTATCATATATAAAGGAGCTGTCTATCAAGGCTTTTAGACAACACATATCGACACAGTGTAGAATACTTTGTGCTTTCCAACACGATACAAGTTTTACATCCAAAAGGGATGCTTTTCAACGCGTACACAAGTGACACTTGTGTGACAGTATAGGATTCTATGCTTCCCAACTATGACACAAGTCGACATAATCAAATGCAGCATTTTAGTTATATATGATTGTGTTATGTATGATTATGTCCTTGATGGAAAACTCCCATGATATATAAACATACATTACTGCTTATAAGTTTGATAATGTTTGTGATATCTCTAATTTTACACAAAGTATTACAAAAAATTATAGAAAAGTTTATAAGAATGTTTTAAAGAGAAAAATAATTCTTTATATCAGTCAATTTTTTTTTGGAATCATTTTAAAACTTAAAAGTCTGCTTTAAAATTTATTAAATTTTGTCAGATAATATTTCATACAGATATAGCTTTTTGAAAAACAAACATTGGTAAAATATTTTTTCAATGTGTTATGTTTTTAATGTTACATAATTTATAACAACAAAATATCTTAAAGATATAAAATTTAAATACCAATTGAAAATTCTGTCTTTCCTATTTGTAATTTCTAAAAATGGATTTTTAAAGCTATAGTTTGTTTCATCGTTGAGACACTATTTTTATAAAATACAAAAATATTGCAAGTATTTTCGAAATTATGAAATAAATGATAGTGCATATGTATGTATGTATCATATATTAATTTTACATTGTTATATAGGGTTATCTAACTGAGGCTTTGGAGATATGATCTCTTAACTAATCCCTTAAACTAATGATTTTTTGATAATTGTTAAACTATTTGTTATTTCAAAAGGATATTTTTAATGGAACTTTATTTTGATAGGAATATATTTTAATAGTAACACAGATCATCTCTCTAAGTAGACTTGTCTCCAAAAGAGACCTGATTTTATCAGAACCATATTAAAATATTTTTTAATTTAATTATGTGCACTTTTTTAATAAATAATTTATAATATTTATATTAAACAATATATCCTAAATTTTGACTTATCTAACATATATATTATTATATATATGAAATCACAGATGATGTCGATAGAGAATTAAATAATTTTGCACACATCATAACAATAGAGGAAGAGAAAGGGAGAGAGAGAGACGTAGGAAGGGAGGGAGAAAGGAAGGGGAGAGAGAGAGAGAGAGAGAGAGAATAAAATTTCATAAACAATTGATTTTTTTATATCTCTATCTTAATACTTTTATATACAGAATAATTAGAGAAATCATATTATATAAAAAAACAATATAATTTCATTTAAAAAATTGAATATTACTTTAAAATCTTAGTGATACATCATAGGTTCACCTAGAATAACTATAAAAAAATGTTCTCGAAATGAAGGGAGTTCCACTTAAATATTGTTTAGAATAACTATAATAATTTAGGAGAGAGATAATTGCATCCTAGTTTCAAATGGAACACCCTGTATACTCATACTACATGTATAATATTTTATATACATTTGTATCTATATATTTAATATATAGGTCATAGAATATGTATATAATTAATACTGCTTATTCATTACAATGACATACCTAACTGAAAATTATCATTTTTAGTTGTTTATAGATAATGAACGATACTTTAGAGGAAAAGGAATGTTTATTTTTCTTTTGTTTTGTCTTTTTATTCCTTTGTTATTATACCAAAATTTGGCTGCTTTTGGAATCATCATTTGAGTGCATCCAGATGTTATTTTATGTTTGTTTAACATTTATGAACAAAGATAAAACATCTCCCTCTCTCTGGGCGCATCCGGACAACGATTCTGCCTTATAATTTATATATAATAATTCAAAATTTATTTTTTTTCTGCAAAACTTTATTTTTTTTTAATAGAACATTTCTATATTAATTTATATAATTGGTCCGTTGTTGTTTATATCGATATGTATTCGTTTCTGTTTATCTGCCAGACTTGCAAACGCAGAAACGGTGGACGTGCCAAGCATGGCCGCGGTCATGTGAATCCAGTCCGCTGCACCAACTGTGCTCGTTGTGTCCCTAAGGACAAGGCCATCAAGAAATTTGTCATTCGTAATATCGTCGAGGCCGCTGCCGTCAGGGACATAACGGAAGCCAGCTTTTATCAATCTTATCAGCTGCCCAAATTATATGCTAAGCTTCACTATTGTGTTTCTTGTGCTATTCACTCTAAAGTGGTACGGAACAGATCCAAGGCGGATCGTCGTATAAGAACGCCTCCTGTCCGCAACTTCCCAAGGGTAATTATCTTTATTTTGTAGTCCGTTATGTAAACACCTACCACTCTTAATTTAAAATTTAAGTTTTTCTGGGAGTACAATGAAAGTTTTAAATATTTTAAATATGTATTATAGTAAAGAAATGTATATTCAATACAAGGGAGTAATATTTTATATATTTTCAATAACTACACCTGAAATAATACGAAGTTATAACCAAGTAAATATAAAGTTTTTTTAAGTTAGTTATAAAATCTATGCAGTATACATATATGGTGCATTTTGTTTCCAGGATCTACGCCAGGGCCAACAGAACAGGAAATAATTTTATCATGTAAAGTTAATTTCGATATAAATAAAAATTCGTAAAACCAGAGCATTGTTATATTACTTTTATTATTGTGGCAGAAAGTGAATAAAATACAATATTTTGTCGTAAATTAATGCAAAATTGGATAATAAGCTATTTAGTGCTACTACATGAATAAACTCGGATCGCCAAGCTCATTAGAGCGACTGTAGATTTATTGTACATGGATATAGGATTTATTATACATAATGTGCACATGCATTCACACAACGCACAGAGACGTATGCGCACGTCTAATATTTTCCTTGATCTTAAAAAGCGAAATTTTAAATCTAAATTTTATGTATACCAATGAGTTACTTACATTTCATAAAAATACTTGCATCTGACTTTAGCGACAGTTTCTAATAATTGTTTAAAATTAATGTACAAGTAATCATTTTTCATATGCACGCACACACATATAATTGTGTGTATGTGTAAATATATATATTTATTATTTAGTACTTGTTAAATTAGTACTTATATTAAATATATATAATATATAGAAAATCATTTGTTTGCCTCTTCCATTGCTTTCTTTAGTGTTTTCTCAAATATCTTTTTAGAGTCGCAAAATCCTTGTTTTGTTTTTCCGAACGAATTTGGCCCAGCAGATGTTGGTGTTTCACGCCCGATATTTCGCATCCTCATTCTCGCTTCTGCCGGCATCTCCTCTGGTTCTTCATCATCGTCCGTGTTGAACACCGAGGCTACCGTTGGTTTTTGTACTGTCGTTGCTTTTGCAGTTGATTTCTGTAACAAAGGGTTTCTTAGAGACAGAATTTCATAACAAAAATTTGTGTAGTAAAACGAAACATCAAGGTCAATGAGAATGGTTTACTTACAGAGACAGAACCTAATTTAATTTGAATTCCTTTCTTCTGTTCATTGCCAGCCTTTTTCCCAAAGCCAAATGCCAACTTCTGTTTCTTTGCATCCAATTGGTCACAATCGTCTGTATTGCTACGTTCTTCGGTTCTGAGTGGAGAACGATCCCTACCTCTGTCATCCTCTCTCCTGTCATCCTCTCTCCTGTCCTCGGTTCTGTAGACACTTGACCCTGACAACGTCAAACACTGGCAAAGTTCAGATCAAGTTAAACAAAGTTGATTTTTTAACCGGAAATCTTTAAGCGGATTATGTTTAATGCAGTCCTATAAATTCAACAATTAAAAATTAGTTGTATAAAGTTATATATAAAATAAAATTAAACACGTAAATTAAATATGTAACTCTGTAAAAATGTATATTACAATAATTATTACATATGTAAATACAATTACTGTGGACAAATGCTTTTAAAAAATTATGGTACAAGTAAAAAGTAACAACAATCGTACTTACAGTACAAAATATATTCTGTGTCAGGCTAGCAATAAAGGACCAAAGATAGCCACACGATCATAAGTAACATCAATTTCTTTAGAATTAATTATTACAACTGGGGTTCTACAATGGCTGCGTTCAGATAAAACAGATTTGCAACTAAAATTCTTCAATACAATTGGTTTTCGCATTAATCTAATTTCTTATAAATCTGTTTTCTTATAAATCTAAATATATAAACCAGTCATATTATAGAATTTTACAACAGTTGCGAAACTATTTTGTCTGCTCAATGCAGCCAATGAATCGGTAGATGAAAGTCTTAAGTGGTCCTAATGAACTTTCTACAATAAACTATTATATAAATTTTAAGTTTTAGCTATAAAAAATTGACCAATAGTTGAATGTAAAAAAAATAATGGATTGATTGATCAATTTCTTACAAATTAGACTTCAATGATTTAAAACTTAGATGATGACTTATTGTAGAAAGTCCATAAGTTTTAATTGGTAAAGTTGACAAATAGTCAACTTATACAAATTATAGACTTTCTATAATAAACTCTTAACTTAATAGCATTTTTTATCAATGCAGATTTGAATCAATTTGAGTTAAATATTCTACTATTCAATTGATTGACCTTATATTTTACTAATAGATCATAATCCAATCCAACTTAGGTCAAACACGTCATAAATTTTAAGCCTTTAATCTTAAAAAAATAACCAATTATAAATATAATTATCGATTATGATTGATGAATTACTTATAACTAAAGACTTAAAACTTAAATAATAATTTATCGTCTATAAAGAGTCGTCTACAATGGGCAGTAGCAGTAGTAATGATGTTATAAGATGTATCTGGAGTAAGCTGATTTTCCAGCATAATAGGACATAAAGTAAGTCTGAAAACGATAAGAGTAGAATGTAGGGAATGGATTTCAATCATTCACTTAAGGATTTAATTTGCGCCCTATTATACTAGAAATTCAGATTACACCCGACGTGTTTTACAGTCTTATTCCCACTGCTACTGTCCATTGTAGACAACGCATAAAGTTAAGACCATAAAGACTGGTTAAAACTTCTGATTATCACCGACTCATTGTAGAATCTTCATTTATACAAAAAAAAAAAAAAAAAAAGACTGCATGTCGCTTCAATAATTTACGCATGAAAATAATCTAGGTGTCTTAGCCAGGTAGTAAGTAATGAGCGTTATCTACATTCTACTGACAGCGTAATAAATATAATGAACAAAACCTTTTCTATAGTCATCTCCCGAATTTCTTCTAGACATTTTGTCAATATCCTGCGGACACAACTCGAGCAAGATTTACACCAGTTTCGCAGAATATATCATACGAGGTAACCTAAAAATCGTTACTCAAAATTATCTGTCCGCATTGTTGCCAATTTACCGTGCACAAATTCGTTCCTGCTGGAATGTAATGGCTGTTTACAATAGGTGCATCCGATACAACGACAGCTCACCGAGCTCTTGTATCTGTTTGGTTTATATTTTTAGATCTAACGGAATATACCAATCACATACAAAAGCTCGCTGAAAGCTTATAGCGTTTTTCACTGGCAGTAAAGGCCATCACACGTACAAAAATTTTAGTAGTAATCGTAAGGTCTTAAGCCCTAAACACAATGCGAGGGAATAGCGATAGCGATAAGTTTTAACCTATCAAAAATGTGTATTCCGGTGTATTCGATTTCTGATAAGTTGAAACTTATCGCTATCGCTATTCCCCGCATTGTGTTTAGGGCTTTAAGCAAATCGGCCAATCACAGTTTAGCGTATTAAAATGTGAGATCGTAATCTTGATTGTGATTGGTCGATTTGCTTAAGACCTTACGATTCAACTAAAATTTTCGTACGTATGATGGCCTTTATGTTTGGTATTTGTGTCGAATGCTAGGAAGAGAGTTCTAGGTTCCAGTTCAGTTCTTCAGTCTAGTATAGGAACTGATAGGAACAGAAAACAGATCAACTTAATATCTCGGTTCACGGGACAGAACGTTTATCACATTCGTTCATTCTAAAGTGTCGAATGAGCTATTTTCATCGATTTTTAACATTGAACTGATCAATTAGTGAACTGTAAGTTTACTTGATTCATTATTGTGTTAATTTTCTGAAACTAATATAATGGGTAAATGTTAAAAACAGCCCGCTTACCTCAAATTTTGATAAAAATATACTGAATCGACGCGTTTTCACGTAAAAAGATTTGACAAAAAAAAATAATCAACTTTAACTTAAAATATTTCACGAAGCAGAGCGGAGCTTTTTTCTTGTCAAATTTTTATTTTTACGCGAAAACGCATCGATTCAATGTATTTTTATTTCAAAATTTAAGATGAGCGGTTTCTTCTTAACATTTACTTTTAAACTTTATCTAATTTTATAAAAAATAACTTAAACACTTACGTCTTTTAAAAATAAATATTTTCTATTGTTGGTATTAGATTTGTTAACTTAAACCCATTCTACAATTGCTTAAGCATAGTTGTAAATAGTTATAGTACGAAATAATCATATGAATAAAATGTTCAACTGTGATTAGTCAATTCTTACAACTACAGCCACTTACAACTACATTTATGCAATTGTAGAATGGGCTTTAATAAAATTTCTCAGCTGTTTTAAAAAACGTAGTATATTTTATGAAGATAATACATTTGTATTACTTGTTTTTTTTTTATTAAAAAGATAAAGTTAAAAGCCCTATGTCATTACATTAATATGTATTAATTTTTGTTTATAGGAAAAATGAATGTTGGTGTAATTTTTAAATCAGTATATCAAACAATTAATTCTATGGCTCCAAAAGTTTTAACAATTCCAATTGTGGAAAATGTATTATCTCACAGAATCCACTATATGTGCAACAGAGAAAAATTAAATTCATCCAGCAATTTATCAAATCACAAAAGAACATGTTTTCTTTTGCAACCCGTACTGCCCATGTATAATTCAGTATGTGGTCTAAAAGCAAAAGGTAGATTACAATTACGTTGCAAGGATTGTTACTATCTATGTAAGAACGATACATGGTATGTGCTGTGCAAAACCCATCCTAGACATAAACAAGTTAAAATTAAAAAAAAAGAATACAACACATGGATAGTAACATGTGCTTCTCAGAGCCCAGTACGAGGCTGGTAGATGAATGTATATAAATCTTAAATCTGAAAATAAAATATTGTTGTGTATAGCAAATAATATATGAGTTTATTCAAAATACATTTCCTGCGAAGATTTTCCAGAATGTATTTTCAAAATTTGTTAATAAGTCTGTTCTTTACAGCTTGTATACTTGTATACTTATTTATTATTTGCAGAAAATGAAAAAAGATTCAGTACAATAAAGAATAAGCTTAATTATGTTCACTTAAACTAATGATATTTTTATCATTTCAATCTTTTGATAAATGTTTATTTTAACTGTCATTTTCAATTTTAATAAAAATTATTCTATGGATTTTTCGTTCTCTTTCTAACAGAAGAAAGTGGAGGATACACATAGCATAGATCTCGCTGTAGGAAAGAGTAATGGCTTTTGTACACGCGGATTTTAAGAAAATGTAAACTTTTCCAATCTTTTTTGGTGGAATACTTAGTAGGTAGTTTAAATAATAGAATTGCGAGTGCTTTGTGTTTCTGTTGAGTATGTGTTTGATGGAATTTGGATTAGTCGTCATTTGATTATCTATATGATCCAATTTATGGAGTAAAAAGTTTTGGACTCTCTCTCTCTCTCTCTCTCTCTCTCTCTCTCTCTCTAATATTGGAATATACTCTGCAGGCCGAGAGAGAGAGATCCTACTGCCTAGATAGAATCTCTCCCCGAAGGCCAGTACTATCTGCAAGGTTAATGGGTTTCGTTGTTGAAACTTGAAACCCGAGTTCTCAGGGTCTAAAGAAGAAGAACTCACTCGTTTGAGCAAAGTATTTGCTTTTAATGCAGAAGATTTGTGTTTTAAAGTAGTGAACCATTGCTGACAAATTTCCTAACTTGAATAACCGTTGACTTTAACAATTAATATTTCGATTCACAGAGCAAAGCTTGTTTTTTTTTGTTGTCAAATTATTTTTACGCGAAAACATATTGAGTGTATTTTTATCAAAATTTGAGGGCCATTAAGATTATAATTGAAAGATTATATATTTAATTTAGGCGCGAAATCTTGGATTAGCTCTACGAGCTCGGTCTTTGAATCCGGAGTGAATTGAGGGGCTCGATTAGCTCTACAAATGTTAATACCGAATGCACCTTATATATCAACTTTCAATTTTTTACATAATACGTATATATATTCCTTACATATTGTATTTTGATTGATATATAGGATATTTCAGAATTATGGGTAAAATCTGGATCGTTAATAAGAGTCTGAAATGGAACAAAAAAATTTTAGTAAATATAGGTAGTTCCGCCAATCATTTTCGAACTTTACTTTTCATTTTATAAACTATAATATTTTTTGTATGCTTACTTACACTATTGTGAAAAAATTAATGTTTCAGAGAGAATAAAAGTAATTAACTTACAAAATAAGACGTCAAATGTTTCGACAATGAATTTCAGATATATATTTATTAAGGTTTTTATTATTATTTTATAAATAGTAATAATCAGTTGAATTTACTTATAATTCTGAAATATCCTGTATATGTAATAAAATTTTATGAATATAGTTACTATATTGTATATGTTACACTTAAGACAGTTTTATATAATTATTTAAATTTGTACACATTAGTTATATTTATGTTTGTCTTTAATGCTATCATACAATATGGAGCACATAAATTATTTTATCTATCTTATCAGTACAAATGTGAAATTGAATAAACATTTTGATTGTTTATGAAGTAATTGAATATATAATCGAGAGCTTCTTTGTTCTAAAAGTATTGTGCCACTAAGTATACAATCGTTTTCATTTTTATTATGAATTCATTCATATAAGAACGATTATTGAACAGTAGAAAATTTCATCTACAATAGCTTAAATAATGCACTTATTTACTAAGTTTGATATCAAGATATACAATCTACTAGCGCTTGGATTCAACATCAAATATTTTAAATATACACAAAATTCGCAATCATAAAATATTAACAAGAAAGTTTTCGAAAAATTGAGTAAAGAAAGTAATTTGTATAATTTTAAACAGTAATTTTTGAGATAACAAGAATATAAATATGATCTGATATTACAGACTATATTTAGATGGTCATCTATTCGTGAGTTGTGCGCGCGATAGTATTAGTGCTGGTAAGCTCACTTCAATGCAGCGCTACTTATAAGTGATTTAAACGTAATCTATAATACGTGCTTGCGTGCGTGGATATGTGTGTGTGCGCGCGCACAAAATTTCCCGAATTTAAATGGCCAAACTTCGGCAATATGTAGGGATCGATAAACTAACAACAAAGAAAAGATCCTTTAAAGATATGCTTGTTTTTAGAAAAAATCCTTCATTTTAGAAAAAACCGAACATATTTCTAAAGGATTTTTTTCTTAGTTTATCGATCTCTTAGACGCTCCCAAAGTTTGTTCATTTAAATTTGGGACACTCTGTGTATAGAGTAGGCAACTTATGAGTAACGCGATAATGTACAAAGCATGGGATGATCATACATTCATGATCCCTCTTTCCATCAATAAAAATAAAATTTGAAAATTTAAAAATTCCAACAAGAAAAACGTAAAGTCAGTTGTTAAAGTGATTAAATGCTAATATTATACTTATGCGTATAACTTATTATTATACTAGAAGTACTGTCGGATTGTCTTGCTTATAAAACATTTTTTTAAAAGAATTTCATAAAGATAAATTAACGTTATCTGTTGGAGAAATGAATTGCAGATAATGTTCATATAGTCGAGTCTTATTTGTAATCTGTATGTTTTAATTACAATAAATAAGATACATATATATACTTAAATATATCTTCCCTTGTGATTAATTAATTATTCAACAATAATCGCTCATCTCATCTATTTAAAAAATGTCACGTAGAAAAATATTTTTGTCATCTAGAAACAATATATACGCACTTGATGGCACATTTTACGAAAGTGTAGATAAGAAAAATGTGTCAGAAAATCGAATTAAAATCGTGTATTTTTAAAAATCATAAAACGCGATGACAAAATAATTTAAAATTAAAAAAAATTGTCATATTAAAGTTAAAGCGTAATATTACATCATTCATGTCAACGTTAATTAAAACACATCGTAAATTTATAAAAAAAGATTTTGGCATCAGCTTCAGTCTCTGTGACTTGATTATCTTTTTCTTCTTTTTTCTTTTTTACATAGACATAAAAAAGATAAATTTAGCGTACCATTACATGAATAAAAAATAATAGAAAAAGAAGAAAAAAGGAGA